TTATCAGCCAGGGATGATTTGTACCCCCAGGAGACATCAAGTAATGTGAGGAGACATTTTTGGTTGTCACAACAGGGGTAGGGGGTCAAGGGTAGGGGAAACGGAGGGATTATTTTATATACTTCAGTCCTTAGTGAGTTCAATGTCAAACGAGCTCTAGGGCACTAAGGAGACCCAGCTTCTGAACTGAGGCCAATGCACCAAAAAGATGCCACCCCTTGAGGCACCCTGAAAACCTGCCTTCTTTGGACCTTTTGGGAATCTTGGTTAAATGCCCATGAAAAATCAAGAGTAGCTGAGCTGGATCCCTGTTGCATCCTCCTGGCTGATGGCATGTCATCCTAACTGGTCTCTAGGAAGACACGAAGTCTAGGCCAAGTTAAGAGACAAGTGAGCAAAGCGTGGGCTTGAAGTCTTTCATGAGAACCAAACCTTATCACCAAACCAAATGTATGTGAGTCACTCTTCCTGTATGATAGGCAAACAGCTTCAAGACCCATCCTAGGGAATCAGGGGTGGGTTAAATAACAACTCCAAGAGACAGCCACCTGCCTCGCACATTGGCTGTCTCAACCCTCAGTAGATGCCAGAGTTTCACAACACTCCTTGAGCTCCACACTTCACTAATGGTCACCCCCCGTCCCCCGACAACACGAGCTCTTCTGCGCTTCCTCTTTCACTCCTGACATGATAAATAGACTTAGTGCAGGCCTGGAACATGAGACATGTTGACCACTCGTAACAACTCCCCCCGCCTCAATCTGCCATGGCTGCTACTGCCAACAACTGGTAGAGAGGTGGGTAGGTGAGCTCAGGTCCGCTCACCCCTGCTCTACTCAGCCTCCTTCCTCCACAGGACTCAAGTTTCAGACCTCAAGTTTTAGAGACATAAATTTAGAAACTAAAATTTAGAAATCCCAAAGGGTGAGAGGAAGGAAGAACTGGGAGCCTCACTTAGGTCTCTCCAGAGCTCCCCCTTGGGACACTGAGGTCTTGCTGTGCCTTGATACCCAAGAAGCTATTTTTCTTTGCATGCAGTGCCCTTGGATGTCCTCGGATCTCAGGACAGGGAGTGGGACATGCCAGACCTCCATGAAAATCCCACTCTGATGAATACTGAGTGAAGGAAAGGATAGACCATGGCACTTCAGGGTTCAGACACACCTGTCAGTGTTCCAGACTCAGAGAACTCACATGGCATCCTAATAAGGACACGCTGCTGCTATGGAAAAGAGAATCGCCTCCATCTTGAAAACATGAAAAGATAAACTTCCTACTCAGCCAGCCACACACTGGCTCCTTGGGATACGCAGGAGAGAATTGGGCCTTGTCTTAGCAGTAAGGGGTACCAGTCTGCAATCCACATAAGGATGTGGATGAGGCAGACCACATCTGTGGACTGTGTAACAACACAGGCATGAGCCCCATATCCTCATTTTCTTTATTTAAATATTATTGGAGGCTAGATGGGCCTCCCCCTCCTCCATTTTTTCTTTCTGTTTTTTCAAAAAGAGATGCGGTCTCACTGTATTGCCCAGGCTGGAGTGTAGTGGCTATTCACAGGCACAATCAAAGCTCACTGCAATCTCAAACTCATGGGCTCAAGCAATCCTCCCGGCCCAGCCTCCTAAGTAGCTGGGACTACAGGAGTATGTAATCACACTGGGGTCCTCCTTCCTTTTTCAATTATGTTAAATGGATTGGTCTTTTAAGAGGATGGTTTACTTCTGCGCTGTCCATGTTATACCCTATTTTAATTGTTATCCTTTTTTCTCTTATTTCTAACTTTGGAGCATCTAAAACATCTCAGCAGGAGGGCATTTCCCCATGAAATAATTAGTAGTAGTAATAGTAGCAGTAATTACATATTAGTTCTTAATAATTTCTATATGGAATGTGTTTTTACTTAAGTTATATTTTATTAAATAGCTGGATCTCCCTAAAAGCAATTTAAGAGCTCAACAAAGGATATATTGAATGTAAAGGGTGATAGGGTAGATCAGAGTTGCTTCCTCTAAGAAATATGACCAACCCTGAAATTAATCACTCGAACAGCACCTAGAGATTTGGAAAGCAAAACCTGAAAGGTACGAAAGCTTATGATGCTGAATGTGGTAGAAAAGCCAGGCCCTGGGGTGCAGCAGAGAGACCTCGGGTTTGGAAACCCAATGGACTAAGCAAGAAGCACAGTGGCTGTATGCCTTTGGGCGAGTCCCTTGGCTCTTCTGTAAAATGGGAAAAAATGGGAAAAAACAGACTTTTACATCCCCCTGAGCAAGGGATATAAAGTGCCCAGCTCAGGGCACAGCACAGGACAAGGATTTTGGTAGATGGGGGTTGGGGGATGGTAGCTGTCCCATCGTGGATATGAGAAGAGCATTCCGCTGGCTAAGAGGCAGACATGAATGTTCTGGAACATGGCAATCCAAGACTATGCAGTGAAGGCAGGAAGAGAAAGACCAGGCAGAGAAGAACAAGCTGGCTAAGGAGGGATGAACCGAAGCCGAGAATGCCCGCAGAGCCTTGGCACGTGAGAGCCGACGCTGGGCCAAACAGCCCAAAGCCTTCTGAACGAGCTTTTGCTGCAACAAAAAACTTTGGATCATTGTGACAATCTCCTGTGAGGTGCCAATATGCTGCAGTACCTTCCCAGCCCGGATACTGATAGGATCCATCCCAGATGAAGTATGAACACACTTGAGCTGGCTAGCAGCTTGAAAAACTGGAGTTGATCAAGCTGACCTTGAGAAACACAAGGAGATGGTATTTAACAATATGCCAGATGACATCCCTGCACAGAGATGTGAGCTAAGGAAGGACCTGAAGGAAAGCTGACCAGCAAATGTCAAGGGTGAGGAAGTGCGGGGTAGCTGAGGACCAAGCCCAACAACGTAGGCCACCAAAGGAAGGTCTTAGGACTTCGCACACTCTCTGCATTATTAATAGTGCAATGATGCAAGATGCTAATGATGGCTTCTGGTGCTACATTTGAGCATTCAAAATCATAATCTGGGGGAAATGAAGAGCACAGTATAATAGCATAAACAGAGAACAAGTGAACAGATGAGAGATGATGAATGGATTGAGTTTCTTCAGCCTACAGCCTATAAAATCTAATTTGAACATTTGAAATGGCATATTGAGTATTAGTTTTGTTCCCATTCTTGTTTCCTTTTCCCATGTCCCTGACAATGAATGTTTTTGGATAATTCTTTCTCTGGGATTGCTGATCTACCTCAAGGTCCTATACAGTAGAGTAGAACTACACAATGATAAATTCTATCATGTGAAACTGACTCACAAGGACCCAATTGTGGGCTCAAAATGCAAGAAAGAGAGACTGAATGGTGGGTCTTTGAGACCATTCCATCCAATCTTCTTCATTAGAGATGAGGAAACTGAGGCACCAAATAGAAGGAGAGACATGCCCAAGTCCCACCAATTAGAGCAGATCCAGGAATTTCTGTCTCTATGCAGCAAACAACAGTTAAAAATAGAATGAAAGCAGATGAATCTATTCTCATACGTAGCGTATTCTAAGAAAAGAAGAGGATAAATTTAAAGATGCAAAAACAATTGTGTTTTAGCGTTATCTTCCAAGACAGGTTTAAACATTAATATCATTGTACAATATGGTTACTACAATAACACTAGGGCCACTGGGATTGTATGTTTCTAGTTTAAAATATAACATTAAATGGGCAAAGTTTTACAAGTTTAACACTCCTGGCTGCTAGACAACAGTTGCTTGTCTACATTGTCAGTCGAATGGAAATTGAAGTAACATGACTGCACAGCAATTGGGAAACTGGTACCAAAATTTTAAATGCATATGCCCCTTGAATCAAGGAGTCACCGTTTTTGCAAGTTTACACTGATGTCTATGTTTCTTTGGTTAAATCTGTCTTCCACAATAGGCTGAAAGCTCCAGAAACACGGTGGCAATGGCTATTGGTCCTAACAGTAGACCCCAGCACCCATCACAGTCATGCACTTCATAAGTAAGTGAATGAATGACAAGCGAATGAACGAATGCAGTCTATACTTCACGCTGAAGCCCAGTGAGCGTGTTAAAAAAGCAATCGGCTCACATCACTCTCTAGCTCACACTCTCTCACGTCTTCCTGGAGACCCTACCAGACGCCCTCCCACCCCCACTGGTACCTCTCCTACTTCTTCCCATTCCATTTGGCTCCAGCCACACCAGCTTCCCTGATGACCCTTGAATTCTCCAGGTCTGTTCCTACCACTGTGCCTTTGCACATGCCATTCCTACTGCTAAGAAAGTATCTTCTCTGACATTTGCATGGCTTACTTCTTTACTTCATTCAGGTCTCAGATCAAACGTCACCGCTTTGGAGGGCTCTCTGCTGAGCACCCATCTGGAAGAGCTCTGGCTGTCACTCCCCCTCTCTTCTGCTTGACTGTATTTATAGCAGCCTGACTTTATGTTAAACATTAAACTTGAATACCCCTTTATGGTCTATTTTTCCTACCTAGAAGGTAAGCACATGAGGGCAGGGATTTTGTTTTGTTTGATGCTACACCCTGAATCCCAAGAGTACTACAAGCCTTCAGTAAATGTTTATGCAGAGACATACTAACACCAACATCTACTCACAGAGAGAAGAGCAAAAAGCAGAGATAGGATTAAAGCCTATTCCCTTCTAATCTTAAAAACCATGAGATAACAACCTCCCAGTTGCATTCATGGGTGTTAACCACATTTTATTTTTCTTAATAAATGAGTACAATGAGTAAACATTTCCAAACCACTGACTAATAAAGTAGATGACTTTGACAATGAACTATAAACAAATGCATGGATAATACTGGGCCTGCTCATCCTTTCATTCATAAAATAAACAAAGTGAAGATGACTTTATAAATAAAGAAATGATTCCAAAAGCAATAAACTGTACACACTGCACTAAAATCTCCATGTGTTTAGCCCATCGTGTCTATTTGACAATTAAAGACGAAAATAGTCAAGTGCTTACCCATTCTTCTAAAATGCGTGACACTGCTTCATTGGCCCTTGCCATATTCCTACAGGCCAAGATCACGTGTGCACCATGGAGGGCAAAAGACTTGGCGGTTTCAAACCCTGTGGTTTAAAGGAAAGTCAACATTAGAAAACACAACATCCACACATTGAGTCATGTTCAGTGGCCTCTACTGAGTACCACTTGCATTATTCTGGTAGTTCTCAACTGGGGGCAATTTTGCCCCCAGGGGGCAGGTACAAATGTCTGGAGACATTTTTTCAGTGGCCACAACTGTGGGGAAGAGTGTTGGCCAGGCACAGTGGCTCATCCCTATAATATAGCATGCCGGGAGACCAAAGTGGGAGGATCTCTTGAGGTCAGGAGTTCGAGACCAACCTGAGCAAGAGCGAGACCCCATCTCTACTAAAAATAGAAAAAATTAGCTGGGCATGGTGGTGCATGCCTGTAGTCCCAGCTACTCAGGAGGCTGAGGCAGGAATATCACTTGAGCCCAGGAGTTTGAGGTTGCTGTGAGCTAGGCTGACGCCATGGCATTCTGGCCCAGGCACCAGAGCGAGACTTTGTCTCAAAAAAAATTTAAAAATTTAAAAAAAAAAAAAAAGAGTGCTACTGGCATCTAGTGGGTAAAGCCCAGGGATGCTACAAAACATCACAGGCCCCCATAACAAAGAATCAACTGGCCCAGACTGTCAACAGTGTGAGGGTGAGAAAACTTGCCCTATGGGCACAGTGACTTCAAAGTAGAAGGCCAAGCCATAGAAGAGTTCCCAGCATGGCCAGCAACAGTGACCAGATCCTTTACTAAAGGCATTATGCTCTGCTCTGTGACAGGTGTTTCCAGCACCTCCGCTCCCACCAAGGGTAGCCTAGGTTTCTTAGACCCACCCTCCTACTGAGAGCAATTAGAAAACTTGGACAAAATAAGACATGCTTGCTTGCACATGTATACACACACAGACACACATCTGTCTGAAGGCATCAGAAGGACACAATGACTGAGAAATTTTGTGGTCAAGATCTGAAAAAGTTGAAAGGCCAGCATTTGGCAGCTTTTTTTTTCCCTCAAGGCATATTCCAGTTCCAAAAGTAGTAGTTGAGAGCCTGACAAGATGGGCTGAGCTTCTGGCAGTCTCGTGGCATCAAAAAGACACAAATTTGAGTGCAGGGCCCTGGTAAATAAACCAAACTTTCGGTTGGGGTCTTAAAAGGATACTCAGGAGGCTGAGGCAGGAGGATCACTTGAGCCCAGGAGTTGGAGGTTGCAGTGAGCTACGATGGCACCACTGCACTCTAGCCTGGGAGTGACAGAGACTCTGTCTCAAAAAAAAAAGAAAAAGAAATGAAGGAAATCCTGCCATTTGTGACAACATGGATGAACCTGGAGATGTTACGCTAAAATAACCCAGACACAGAAAGACAATACTACGTGATACCTTTTATATGAGGAATCTAAAATAGTCGAACTCACAAAAGCCAGAGAGTAGAATGGTGGTTGGCAAGGGCTGGGGGAGGAGGAAACAAAGAGGCAGTAATCAAAGGGTACCAAGTTTCAGGTGTGCAAGTTGGAAAAGCCCTAGAGATCTACATTCACCACAGTGCCCACATTGTATTGTCCACTTAAACGTTTACGAACAGGGTAGATTTTATGTTGTGTTCTTGCCTCACATACACACACATACAGACACACACAATAATAATACAGAGGGAAGAGGAAACTTTTGAAAGTCACAAATATGTTTATCTCATAAATTGTGAAGAGGGCCTCACAGGTATATACACTTATCTTCAAACTCATCAAGTTGTACACAGTAAATACATATGGCTTTTTCTATGTCAATCAGACCTCAATAAAGTGATTTTTCAAAATTAAAGATAAAGAAAAGGACAGAGATCCTACAAACCCTAAGAAGATCTTAAGATCTGGCAAACAACTTTATACCAGTAAATTTAAAATATAGCTGAAAAAGACAAATGCCTAGGAAAATACCATAATACTAAAAAATTGTCACAAGAAGAAATAGAAAAACTGAAAAGTTCTCTATATTTAAAGAAAATGAATCCATAATTCAAAATCATCTCAAAAAGAAGATTTGGAAGGAAAAAGGAGAGGCGAGGAAAGTGGAGGGGGAGGGGAAAGAGAGGAGCCAGTCTAATTCCAGAGGCTGAACCCCAAACCATTGCTCTAAACTAGAAAACACCACATTTTGTAAGCTGTGGCGGAAGACCACAGAATACACAGTGCGACAACAAAGTGATCAATTCTACTGGGGAAGGCAACAATGTAATTCAGCCAAATCCATGTCAAATGACCACAAATTAATGTTTCCAAGATAATGTTAATACGTATGGAAAACCAGAGTATCATTATCTTACTGAGATCACCATGTCAGAGAGCTCAGTAAAGTTCATTCATTCATATCACTTCCACAGATCTAATCTTCATGGAGAGCAGTCTATTTATGTAACCTACTTCTCAAGGAACGTCGGCACAGCACAGAGAAAAATTCGAACTCAGAAGCTGAACACACTTGTGTTGATGCCAGCTTTAACCACGTACCAGCTGTGGGACCTCAGGCTGCAACTCTAACCCATCAGAAACTCAGTTATCGTTCCTGTAAAATAAGGAATAAATGATAAACACGTACTAAGAGCCTAACATAACCATAGTAGGTGGGCAACAGATGTTAATTGCCTGTTCTTTCCAAAATCCTGGTGTCCTAATCCTATGCTTCTTACATGATTTGTATGACCTACCAAATACAACACAGTCACTATGACTGAAAAATTAAAACTCTCTTGGCCAGCTGTGGTGGGTTACACCTGTAATCCCAAGACTTTGGGAGGCTGAGACGGGAGGACTGCTGGAGGCCAAGAGTTCAAGACCAGCCTGGGCAACATAGTGAGACCCCATCTCTACAAAAAAAAATTAAAAATTAGCGGGGCATGGAGATGCATGCCTACAGTCCCAACAGCTAGGGAGGCTGAGATGGAAAGATTGCTTGAGCCCATGAGTTTGAGGTTGAATTGATCTGTAATTGTGCCACTGCACTCAAGCCTGGGAGACAGAGAAAGACCCTGTCTCTTAAAAAAAGAAAAAATTAAAGCTCTCTCCTAGATCTGTTCACAACAGCTACCCAAGAGCTAAATGGCTTTAGTATCAACTTGAATGCAAAGAAATCAGCTAGAGGCTACTCCCTTCCATTTGCCCAAATACTGGCTCTGGAGCACAACTGAACTTCAATATTGAGACAACCTGAAGTTATTTTTCAAGATTTTACCAAATTCTTTATTCCAAAATATCCGCTTATGATCTAAGGATGACTTCTGATACTTAGATGCTAAAACAATGCACACGAGATTTCAAATCTGAAATATTTAACACCTCAATCTGTTTGCCTCCTCTTTGGTGTGTATGGTAAAAGTTGTGAAGCCCCATCTCCAAGCTATGAGGCAAGAGGACGATAATCTGAAATTTACTCATTTTTACCCATGATGCCAATGTTACCCCTTATCCCCAGTGAGCCAAAGGCACCTAGATCACTTTGGAGAAGAGAGAAGTAAAACACCAGGTTTTGGAGCCCAGCTGTTCCAACACCAGCTGGGGGTAGGCACGGGATGAATTCTTGCTGACTGATGTACCGCATCAATCAGGCTAATGAAACGCTGATGGCCATATGGAGGAAACATGAAGCAGCCACACACCACCTCACTTGTAAGCCTTCTGCACCAGAAGACCTAGGAGAAGATGGTGGACTCCGGGTCGGTGCAACGATCAGAAATATTTTTCCTCACATTCTCATCAGAGGGTATTAAAAGAAAAAATGACATAGGAGACTGGGGAAGATGGTACACACAATTCTTAGTCATTCGTTAGCAACCATATTTTTAAAGGATTGAGAAAGCACCGATAGAATGCAAGGCCAGGCAGGCCCTAGAGCTTTATTTATCCAACTTCCCAGGGTAACAGTAAACTCCCTGAGCCTTCTGCCCTTTTCATCTCTGTATTTCACAGAACTAGCACCCTGTAGTATTCAGTAACTACCTGCCAACGGAATGAATGGTTCTCGCGGACTGCTAAGAGGCCGCAATTCTGGACTATTTTAAAACAAACCAAGTTGTTTCAAACTGCAACGCGGATGGCCTTCTAACTTCCTTTTTAATAATGAATAAATATTAAAACCCTGCAAAGATACCGCTCTCCGCAGTTTTGAATGACACTGCCAAGAAATCTGTGGGGGAAAAATGTACATCCTTTTTCTATCAGGTTTTATTTTCCCAAACAAACCTGTTAAAGTCACGCAATCTCACTTGACAAGACAGCCTATGGCAAAGGACTTTTTATTACCAAAAGGGGCACATCTGATAGGATGGCAGCAACAGGCTGGAGGCACAGGCTTGCGCCCTTCTCTCCTTTAGAGAATTCCTGACTGTATTCGTGTGTAAGCCGTCTGTCGCTGTGTCCTGTAAAATTATACTCTGGGTCTTAAGTCTTCCTTTATCTAAGCAACGAATTACACGTTGCTAGTCTACTTTTAAAAGCTGCACTAGACAACTCCATTTTCTTATTCTTTACAATTGCCTTTGGAGCAAAAACAAACCACGGCTATTTCAAAAAAGATGATGGTTTAAGAGGAAGGACAATAACACTTTTATAGTAAACCATATCTCTGGAGTGTAGCATTTTATAAAAAAAAAAAAAAAAAGTTTAATAATGCCACCTATTGCTAAAGTCCTGGATAAAGCCCGTGAGAATAGCATCCCTCACTCTCGTAATACTGCAGCTGATGGCCAGTTTAATTAGCTAAATGTAGTAGTGCTAAGCCAATTCTGCACAGTGCCAAAGTTTGTGCAAAATAATGAAGGCAATGGTTTACTAAATTTAATAACCTGATTCATCTTATAAAAAATTAACTTTATGACAATGTTTAAATTGAACCAGCTTAACTGCATGGAGATAGCAAGAGTGTGTTCAGAAGAATATTTAAAGTTAATAATATAAATAAAATAAAGGAAGATATTTTAAAACAATGGGCAGCATCAGTTTTTCTACTACTTGTTACATCTAATCCGATCAGAAAAATTCAGTGGCCATGGAGGT